CATCAGATTTTCTTCGTGCATTCAGATATAAATGTGTATGCAACTTATATTAGGCTTAAATTACTTCTTCCATAATAGGGTAAGTAGATATGAATTCTCTAAGAGGCAGAAATATTTTCAACGATAGAAGAATAAGAATATTGTTTCATACTAGCAGACAAATCCAAAACTTACAACTGATTGTGATCAATCCAAGACACTGAGAGGAAAATTTGAAAAGCAAGACAAACAATACCAACGAAAGTAATAACCATGAGCTTCTTTTTGGTCAGAGATAACCTTGAAATTTATATAGAAGAGAATAATATAATTCTTATGCAATATCACCTTTGACTAGAAATATAAATCTAATAATTACTATAAGCACTGAGTTGGAGGAAGCGGCTGGGGTATTTAAGAGTATGGATTTTACACCTGTGATTGATAAATCTCGCAACATTTCCATAAACTGTAGCGTCCAAGCAAAGGACCTCTTCATCTTTCAAGACACCCTTCCAGCCCCAACCTGCATCTAGTAGAACTTGGTAGCGTGTATTCTTGTTACCAGGACTTCCCACATTTCGCTCATGTAGTTCCGTGTTGGTTAATATCTCTCCAACATACTCACAAACAAAAGCCCCTGGTGGCAAGTCCTCCAGTGTTCGAAGACCCCACCCCTTCCCTTCGGGTGTCAAAAACACCTACAACAAAGATTAAACCACTTAGACGCGTTTAGAATTTATACGCATCTGGTTATTATTACCTAGGGCCTTGAAATTCACAGCAGACAAACTAACCTGCAACTTCACAGTGATGCTTTGCTGAACTATCCGGTTTCCACATTTCTTGTTACACCAGCATTTAGACCAGCATTCGTTTATAAATTTCTGTAACAAATGGCCTTTGCATGGCACAGAACTCCTCATTCGTAGACCTTTGAAGTAGGCAGTTTCTACAATACACTAGTGGTCTTGTTTAGGTTCCCGCTTCAAGGATATACACTCTTCTAGAAACTTCTCCTTGACGAATCCTCCTAGAGTGTATGCAAACTGACCCCCACTTTCAGCCGCACACAGGCAAGGTACTGGTGATGTCAAACAATCCCCAAAACAATGTGAACAGAAACCCTCATGAGATATACGAGCAAGTGAAAATTTCACATAGGCGTTCTTATAAACTAAATTATTGGAGATGTAAAAAAAAGATTGGCAGATCTTCAGTATTTCTTCCATTCTCCAAGGAAACTTTCACCCTTTCTTCACCATCAATATAAACACAGGATTTAATGACTCCAAGTGAAGAATGGTAGTTATGATCAGCCTCTACCTTGCATAATTTTGAAGATCTACGGCCTTGGATCACCTTTAATCTCTTTGCGGTTTCACCAAAGATGTTCTCAATATCCTTTCTTGCAAAACCAATTAAGCATTGAAGACCATCATAACAACCAAAAGCTATATGTTTGGGTATATGGGGTATAACCTTGATAAGATTTTTACATAAAATTAATTCACTTTGAAAACTTAGATGATCATATTTACTGGCAAGAACATCTTGTGCAGTACTTTCATCAAAGGTGGAATCAGTTCCTGTTTCCACAAAGCATTCTTCAACTCTACATGATTTTATGTGTGTCTCTTCCATCACTTCTAGAGCTTCATCAAAATGTGGAGGACAGAAATCAGACTGTGGAGAAGAGTGGCAAATCATAGACATTTCCAGGTCACCCTTCGGAGTAGATGATGCAGCTACAAACTGTGGCAAATCAAAAACATTATCTTTGTTGTCCGTATTCAACGATTCCACTTCCAACAACTTCAAGCCGTCTTCATCAGATTGAGACTTTCTTCCAGTTGCATGTTGCAATTACGCAGAGGATCGAAGTTATTCCCAGAGTCCAAAACCTCTCTTTCCTGGTGTCTTCGGCGACTTCTTCTTACTAGTGGTTGAGAGTCTTCAGATTCTTCCGAATCAGAAAACAGATTATCCTCATTACTCTGACGTGCCCTTTTTAATGGAGACTTTTCAAGGCAAGATGTGGAGTGTTTCAAAGGAGACAATGCCTGTTTTTTCCGTTGCCTTGTGCAATATCTCTTGGTTGGAAGTTCAACTACTTCAGTTTTATCATAAGATGGAGCTTCTTTTTTCTTCGATCTCACTCCCTGGCACGAAAATATATGAAATGCTAAAACACTTAAACTTCAGTTTCATCATATAAAAAAAAACCATTATGCTCTCTGCATGGTTGATGAGAGCTCCAAGACATAGAACAAACAACCCAACCATAATTTGTAATAATAGTAAACAGAAATATAGGGCATAGAGAATATTATTATACATAATCTCACCTTTGATTCATGGATCAAAGCTATCCTTTTCCATTTTAAAGGGAAAATAAGGATGCCCATTAAGTATAACAAAATATATTTAAAAAAAACTATTTAAATAGATATTCCAATATTTCTCTTCTATGACATATATAAAAGATGAAAAATAAACAAAAACAAAATCTTGAAAAGCATTGAATAAACAAAACACTAAAATAATTAATAAAAAATTAAAAAGAAAAATCTTATTAAAATATGAAGAATAAAAAAAAAGGTAAAAAACAAACCTTTTCCTCCTCTGGCTTCTGGTCCAGAACAAAGTCCAGCAAAAGTCTGTAATTTTCATCAATAATAAACTCCCAGCTGTTTGCATAGACTTTCAGAAGCTCTTTGACCGCTGCCTTTGTCTGACCTTCGGAAATGCCAAAAGGCTTCATTGCCCTACAGGCATCAGCCATTCGAGAATTTTTTGGCGGCATCACTAAACTATTCACAGTGAAAACGGCATCACTAAAAAAGGAAGAAGGCAAATGCCAACAAATGAAGATGAAGCAGCTCTGGCCTTTGGTTATGTCACCAAAACAGAAAAATAAAAGAAAAGCTAGAAGAAGAAGAAAGCTTTTACAAAGTAAAATCCAGATTAATGGTTGTTACCTCTCTCTTTTTTCTGGGTATTTAATTTTCAACTGACTCAGAGCACTGAGCACCTCTTTTAATTTCTCAGACTCTCTTTCTAACCTCTGGTTGCTTTGGGAAAATGGGAAAATGCTTTAGGAGAAGAATAAGAAGATGGAGAGTTCTTTTTGCAGATTTAAAAAAAAAAAACCCAGATAGGTAAAACTAATATACAGAGAGAGAGAGAGCACTTTCTATGCTCCACCACTGCCGCCAGTAATGTACAGTTAATCATTGCGTTTTTTTTTTTTTTTTTTAATCTGCACAGTTTTGTATCTCTAGCCGTTAGATTAATCTGACGATTGGGAAACACTGCCCTAGGATTTCTTCCCTTTTCAGGTGGACGAGTGTCCTAGGATTTCAAAAACAATCCGGATGTCCAGATTTTGGAGGGAGATCCGTGGAAGCATAAAGTTTCATAGAACAAATTGCTCAAACTTTATATGAGTGTCAGGTCAGAAGGGGGATGGAAGTTACATGAAAAGTGGGGCAAGTTGGATAAAAATAAAACTGGAATTGAAAGAAATCCTAATAATGTTATTCATTTTGAAGTCAATTATTACAATTTGTATATTGTATTAAGAGCATCTAAGCAAATAAAATTAGTCAAATTGAAATTTGTTGACTTACGTGTCAATTTGAAAAGTCTTATTTGCTATTTGAATAATTTTTGCTCCAACAGACTCTTCAATTCAATTAATGTAATATCATGAAAAAGAATAAAAAAATATGAAAACATGTAAAAAATGTCTATGTATTTATTATATGAAAATAAAAAATGCATGTTTTTAACATTTTCAATGTAGGTTTTGTTTTTCCAAAGTAAAATTAAACATTTGAAGAGCCCGAGGCAACTTACCAGTCCTGAAGAGAGAGAAAGTGATTATAGCTTTAATAACTAAGGTTGAAGAGGCTGTTGGAGATGCTCTAAGGGGTGTATTCAATTAGGATTTTAATAGATTGTAATCACATGATTTTAATGTAATGGATTTCAACAGAATTTGTAATTACAAGATTTTACTTATAATTTTAATAGATTGTAATTACATGATTCTCTTATGATTCACTTAAGACTTTTTTGTATTCTCCAAAGAATCAAAAGATTTGCTCTAGGATTTCATATGAAATAATAGGTTAACAAATGATAAGAGGTTCACTCAAACTACTAAAACTAAAAACTACTACCCTAGACCCACACCAGTAGATTTACAGTTTGAGGAAGATGGAAGGTGGAATTCCGCTCAGTATGACGGAAGCTCCATAGTTGAATGGAATATTGATGGTATGACAGAATATCATATCATTAATACAATGAAACATATGATGATGTACGCTACAACCTCTAAGATTAAAGGAAATGGAGATAGGAGGGTGGCTAAAGCTATCATCTTTATGGTGGGCCTCAGTAATATTTTGTCTGATAAGAAGACAATTTGTACTTATTGTAATTTTACGTTAAAGCATTTTACTTTTGCTTTTCCTCTGGTTAAAGCAAGATGCCTCTGCTTTAACTTTGCTTTTATTTGATAAAAAGAGTATTCACAACCAAAAATTTATATAAAAATTAACCTTTTAATACACGCATGAAAGCTTGGGCCTAAAACTGGAATTGGAGGCAGGCCCATATATCATAACGCGAAGCAAATTACATGTTTCAAAGTTTGTGGACCAAAATGTGGGGAGAAAAAGAGTTGATGGATTGATATAAGACATGATCCCAAGGTTGGAAACATTAATAAAATTTACCATTTAAATTTTTGCAATGTATTTTTTTAACAAAAATGATCAAAAGACAAATTCGCGCGTCCCACTAATATGAAGAATATATATGATATGTTTGTTAACCGAAAAAAAAAGAGGCTAAATTTGGGGCTCCTTTAGAATATATATATATATATATATATAAATCAGTCCCAATCTCTTTGACTACAGGTTCACTCACTCTTGCACTCCTTTTAAAATACTTTTTAAAACCGTTGGTGGTTTTGGGGTAATTATCACCATAGTTTCAAAATAATAATAATAAATTTGCCCTTGACCAAAAAAATAATAATAATAATAGTTTTTTTTTAAAAATTCTTTTACGTTTTTTTTTTCAACTTTGTAGTCCAATTACAACAATAAACCATCCTAAAATTCAACATGATATAAAATTTTAAAGTTCAATAATTAATATAGATACAATTCAAAGATCAATAACTTTAAAGTTCCATAAAACTTCAAATTAAACATCCCTATATGGTTTTTCTTAATTTAAAAAATATCCTGGATAGGTTTTTTTTAGGACCTTTTTTTTAATTGAGAGGAGCAATAATATGTTAAACTCACACACACTACAGGGATGCTGAGACTTGAATCTAGGACCTTGTCTGAAGAAGCAATTGCTCCAAATCACTAGACTAGTAGGTCCTTTACCATAGATAGTTATTATACAATGAAATAATTACACGTTTCAAATAAAAAAATATTAATATACAAGTAGACAGTTTGATTCTGTTTAAGCCGATTTCAGAAAGCTCAAAACCACAACCAAACCATTACGGTTTGATTCGGACTTTTCACTCATAAAAATCCTCATAGTACCTTGTAGTAGTGTGGTGTCGAGTAAAAAAGGAAACCAATGGTTTTGGACACTTTGTGTTTGACTTGGCCTTTACTTTTCTTAATCGAACCAAATATGGGTCTCAAAGCTTTTTGATTTTTTTTTTTCTTTTAATTTCTTAGTGACTAAACAGCGGATCTCTCAAGAAATGTTGGGATTTTGAATTTCTTTCACAATTTTGAGCATTTGTTCATGTTTTCTTATTGGGTTTGTTTGAATATCAGATAGTACACATTTTTTCCCAAAAGCACATGAGAACGTTGGTAAGACGTTGAAGGCTACGGAGGTTATAGGTGTGTTGAGATTTGTTTCCTTAAATTCTTAGAAGTCATTTTATAAAGGGGTCTCTTTAAAATTTTGAAAATAAGGTGAGTGGAAATAACAGCATTCTTTCGAACCAAATCATTACGGTATGATTCGGCTTTTAACGGTTTGACTTTTTTTCACTCAAAAAAATCCTCCTAGTACCTTGAAGGTAGACCTGGCAAACGGGTTGAATTAACGGGTTTTGGGTCGTGTTCGTGTCAACCCGTTAAGTTAACGGGTTAACACGACGCGACCCGTTAAGTTAACGGGTGACAAATACTAGACCCAAACACGACCCGTTACAATTCGCGAATATCCGACACGACCCGTTAACCCGTTAAGAATAAACCAAAAAAGAAAAGAAAGGAACAACTAGTCTATCACAGCTTCTCTCTCTACCCAGCCAGCCAACACGCAATCTCTGGCTTTTTTGAAGAACCAAAACCAACAACTCAGATAGAATCAATACCCACTAAAAGCTTCTACATTGAATCAATAGCAAGTTTACCTTGATAGGAATTTTGAAGAAAAAGAGCCCCAAAGTCCCTTCCACCTCCGTATCAGTATCAAAGGGTATTACACCCCTAGCCAAAGCTTCAAGCAAGTAAAACACGTCGTGGATGACGGTTTGCTGGTTTGCTGGGATTGGGTGTGGGTCGGGTCGGATGGGATCGGAGCATAGTATACATAGTCTACAGACTCGCCCTTGGAGGCCATTGTTTGTTCGAGTAGAAGAGAAGAAGAGAAGACTGAGAGGAAGAAGAAAAGGAAAAGGGTTTAAGAAGAAAAAGACACGGAAAAGAAGAAAGAAAAGGGGAAGAAGAAAAGAAAATAAAAATATTTTGCAAAATTACAGAATTAACCTCCTTAACGGGTGGCTAACGGGTTAACCCGTTTTCGACCCGACCCAATAAGCTCAACCCAAATACTGATAATTTCGTGCGAATTCGTGTCGTGTTAACAGGTCGTGTGCAATATTGCCAGGTCTACTTGAAGGAGTGTGGCGTCGAGTGAAAAAGGGATCAAACTGTCACTCACTCCAAACTAGATGGATGCAAATGTAATTAACCCTATCCTTAATCCTTACATCACATAATGGCCAGAGACAACGCCAGTAGGGCACAGTATAGTGAGTCTGGTTTTGAAGGGTCCAAAGAAAAGTGGCAATAACACTGAACAAGGGTTCAAAATGCCAGCAGTCGGTCTTGGTGTTTGGCGCATGGAAGGAAAAGAAATCAGAGACCTCATTATCAATGCCATCAACATTGGTTACCGCCATTTTGATTGCGCTGGTATTTCATTTTCTCCTCAATCGTCAATCTTGATATTTTCTCTGATATGTTTCTATGCTTATTTCATGTACAAGTTTACTCTTTGCTGTTCATATGGGTGGAGGAAGGGGAGTGGGGGTTTAATTTATTTTGTCATCTGAGTTTGTTGAAAATGGCTTAATTGGAGCAATTGAAGAGGGTTTTGTAAATTATAGGTTCCATGGGTGATAGGTTTTATAAATTATAGTAACATTGAAGCCATAAATTTATTTAGTTGCAAGCACACAGGACAACAATGTGACGGTTTGAACCCAAAATATCCTCTCTTCTCCAGGGTCATTGCCAGTTACCAATTTGTGTCTGAAATGTATCACACCTCTTCTACTGGCATTTTGACACCACTGAATGCCATGAGTACGAAATAGCTTATTATTTGGTGTTTTTTTTCCCTGTTTACAACAACATTTGAATCTAGGTTCTACTCATTTGCCCGACCTCAGGGCCCTTGAGCTTGAGGTTGGTTAAAAAGGAAATTGTGAAGCATTCTAACCTTGGTTTGCATTCAACCAATCTATAGTATCGTCAAGTCCACTAGATTCCAAAGTTGACTTTGCACTTAAAAATGAAGCAGAAGTAGGGGAGGCACTTGCAGGAGCATTTTCGACTGGGCTTGTTAAGCGAGAGGATCTCTTCATCACCACCAAGGCCAGTTTAATTTTCAATCAAGAGTTTTCTTTTTCTGCTCAAGTTGACTAGTAGTGCATATTATGCATTCTAGACTATGACAAATTTTTTCTCTCTCCCCATTTCTTCATCCTTTTTGCAGCTTTGGAATTCAGGTCATGGACATGTCGTAGAGGCCTGTAAAGACAGTCTGAAGAAGCTTCGGTTGGATTATCTTGATCTATACCTTGTTCACTTTC